TTTGGGACTTACAGGCGCCCGCCACAACGCCCGCGCTAATTTTTTTTGTATTTTTCAGTACAAAGGACGGGGTTTCACCATGTTAGCCAGGATGGTTCTCGATCTCCCCAGCCTGGGTGACAGTGTGAGACTCATCTCAAAAAAAAAAAAAAAAAAAAGCTGGTCAGCCTTAGGTCATCCAGATGTGCCCAATCCCTTGACTTTAAGATCACCTTTTTTAAAATGTTCACTTTTCCTCTGCTGTTCACAAAGCAGTTTTTTTAAGAATGCTTGAAAAAAGGAAAACATGGAATGAAAAAGAGCATTACTTTAATAGTTCACAAATTTAACGATATTATAGAACACCAAGACTTGCCAATTGCAATAGGAGACTATTCTGAAAAAGTTTCTCCACTGGAAACTGGTAAACAGAATGTCTTCATGTATCACGTGGCTTCTCTGCAGAGTGATGATAGGTCAGTAATTTTAACCCAGTAATTCTGAAAAAAGAAGCAGCACAATTGCATGTTTGTTAGAGCCCTTCCAGCCTGTCTCTGTGCTCTGCACAAGTCCTGGGATCTGGCCCCACACACTCACCCTGTCCCTGGACTTGAGGGTCCATCTGGTGTCAGGCAGGAGGAAGAGGGCTCTGGAGCCCTGCATTCTAAAACTCAGCCTCCAATCAGGCTTTATGCTGGTCAGGCTGTGACCTGTGCTGCGTGTCTGATAACTGAGGGGTCTATGTCCTTCCCCCAAACCCCAGGCTTCTATTCTGGTGTCTGGATCCTGTCTTGCTTCTCCTGCCTGAATCCTGGCTTAGGTAACCTGCCAGTTGGCCTAATATTTCTCAACTTGTGACCCCATGATGTTGTTGCAAACTTTATTTCCCCTGGGCTGGGTCTGAACCCTGGACCAGGGGTACAGGCCCTGTGACCTGTAGACAGAGTCCTCTGGGCAGCTGCCCTGCCTGGACCTGTGTTTTATCTGCTGCTAATAATCTCTGTGTTCAGCCACTTTGTCAGGACACCCTCAGCCCAGGACTACACCTGTAATGCAACCATTTAGCCTGATTACCACCTCTTTCTCATTATTTTCTTAAAACACGATGTTCTTCCTTCCAGGCCAGACTTGTTCCTGGTACTGACAACTTCTCTGTGTCCCTTCTCCCTGCCCACACCTAACCTAGTTAGTATGCCCAGCCTTGCCTGGCAAGAGGCCTCAGCTGCCTTTCTTTCAAATGAAATCTAGTTCTCGTCTCAAATATGAGACTCTTAACTGAGGCATTGACTAGAAAGGGCAGAAAAAGGAACAAGCCATGGCTAGCGGGCAGCAGACAAAGAGAGAAGGAGTGAGGAAGGGCAGCCCAGGCACCGGGGCCCTGGCCTGGCAGGGTGCATTTCTGACTCTCAGTTCCAGGGACAGCAAAGTGGAAACTCACTAGCTTCCACAGCAGGGTCCCTCTGATCTGATCTAAATCCTGCAGTCTCTCCAGACATTGTGGCCACACTGCCAGATGCACACCATGAAAGAGCCATGAAAAATTGTTTGGAATTCCCCAGGCCTACCAGGCTTTCTCCCAGCAATTCCCTTCCTGGACTCTCTCTGTGTCCTCCGAGCCTCAGCTCCTGTGTCCCGACTCTTGCTGAGTTTGGTTCCCATCCTTTATCCTCTCCTCAGACTCAAGTGGGGAACTTACTACTGTTACCTCTGTAACTCCAGATCCTGGCAGTCGTATGTGCCCAGGAAATGCTGAATGAATGCTTTAATTCAAATGAATGAGTGCTTTAATTAATTCAACTGCCATGCCTCTAAAATCCTAAACACAAAGCCCCAACCTGCCTTCTGAAAAATGCTCATCCAATTGATAAAACACTGGCCTGTGAATCAGTAAACAGGATTTTTTTGTTTTGTTCTCGTCTCGTCCAATTGGGAACAGACAACCAAAAAGAAACCTTTGCCGAGCCTTGGCTGTGGCCACTCTCTGCTTGGAGCCAGCAACACAGAGAGGAGCCAGACAGGGCCACGGTCGGCGATGAATAACCCTTCCTTCCTCTCGTTTCAGTACAGTTTTGATAATAAAGTTCTACTGTATATGTAATTGGATTCTTTCTTGCTGTGATTTAAGCAGTCCTCCTCTCTGCGCTGAGTAGAATTACAACTCATTATCTCTGAAGCTCACAGGGGCAGCTTTTCCTACCAGGGCATGGAACTGACTCTCGGGGTTGCGCCGCCTTCTCACCTTTGTCTTCCTGTGTTTATGTCTTCCTCGATTTTCAGTTTGTGCGTTTGCTTTAATGAGCGAGTACATCATATGCTCCTGTGCTGTTTGAGAAAACAATTTCCATGTGTATATATATTGTTAAAAAGTAATGGGTTCTTTTTTTTCCCTTAAAGTCTAATCCTTCCTTACTTTCTCCTCTCAAATACTGAATCTCCAATCCTTTGAGGTCCAACATAATTTACGTGTTAATTCCTTTCTAAGCTCTTTTGAAGCTACTGCACTTGCCATGCAGATTTCATTAAACCTCATAGTCTCCTCATACTGATGTCTCAGAAAAAGCAAAGTAACTCTTGCTGTATATTAAAATATTTTGTACAAGAGTGGTATCGTCTGTCCCCATTTCTGGACATGTACTTATTTACTTAGCCTTCAGAAAGAAAACAGAAGTCTGTTAACAACTAAAGAGAATGCAAGCACTGGGCTTCTCTCCTCATTTGCGGGAAACATCTGCTGATTATAATTCACAGGGCTCTCATTTCAGGGTTTGCAGTCCTGAGTGGTTTCAGCCTTAAATCATCCTGTGTTGGCAAATAATAGCGAGGGCCAGGCCAGGAAAGAAACAGATGAAGCCTATGTACGGAATGAGATTAAATAAAAGCACAAGCATGCCAATATTCCCATTGCCAATATTTCTTTTTCTAATATATTCACCTTGGAGGCCAATATGTTATTTTAATGATGATGATGTTGAAAACCATTCTGTTCTGGAACTTCTTTGGAATTGATCAGCAGGACCCATCTTGATTTTTTTTTTACGAGTAAGGTACATTTTAAGAAGTAGTGGCATGTATTAGATGAATAATCAGGTTGGGTCGTTCTAGATGGAAACTTTGAAATCGTCACACTTAATACGTGTTTAAATACTGAGACAAAGACCTGGGCCCTCATTCTGACTCTGCCGTCTGTTTGATTTGGAATGTTAGAAGTTTTACTTAAGCACTTTAAGCCTTACTTTCTTTTCTATAAAATGGAAATCACACTTGTGAAACTTTCTGATGATTGGCAGAATAAACAAAGTCATCTCTGTCACTTACAAAACTTGATGTCTTTTGTGTGTCAGTTTGTTCTGCGCAACATCAGTATGGAATCCTGGAGTCTTGGAATTCTAGCACTCCGAGAGAGAATCCAGTCAAACAGTCCCATACTGCAGATGAAGAAACTGAGAGCCATAATTGTAGAGGAAGTACCTAGAACGTCAGGGTGACTACTTTGAAAGAAAATGCTTATTTGTCATTTATATTTGGGGTTCTTTTTTTTAAAAAAAAAAAAAACCTTTTATTGAAGTCACGCTGGTACACTATGAAATTAAATGGAGTTTTAAATAAATGGGACAGCAGTCCTCTTGGGGTTATAGATCAGAATCACACTGTTTATTCTGTTCAGCCCAGAGGAGGAGTGGAAATGTCCAAAGTAGCTGGCGGAATCTGTAAACCTTTTCCCAGAAAGGAAACGCTTTTGCTAGACCTTCTGTATCCTCTGGAGCTTCTTAGTAAACAAAGGGTGTGGTTATCTTACATCTGCTTCTGGGCTCCTCCAGCCTTTCAGCACAGGTAAGCAAAGAGTGAGAGCATGTAGAGGCCTAAGGCACAGGCTGTACAGGAGAACTGTACAAGGGGGCTGTAGGGGGCAGCAGGGGGATGGGCAGGAAGGAAGAATGGAAATGATGTAAGATGAGGAGGGAGAAGATAGGAGAGTATAAGACAAGAAGGAAGTTTCATCCTTGCAGAGTAGAGGAGGGCACGATGATCTATCCTGGCCTGTCTACCTGGGAACATTTTCACGCCACCCGTGAGACTGTTTTCTGCCAACAGGGAAACCCTCCTGAATGGGATCCCCTTGTGGCTACTCAGTACGGTGTTTTCATAGTCCCTGCTATTAGAAAGGTCTTACTTATTAGTGTCTGTATGTCACCTTTGAAATCACTTGCTTCATTATCACACTAAAAAAAAAAAAAAAAAAAGTGTTTATGCTGGAAAACCCATTTGTTTTGCACACTTTCTATTTCTGTTTTCAAGTTTGTGTGTGTGCGTTTTAATACAGGGCATAAAGATTTCAAAAGGGTGGGTCAATTATTTGTTGACTAAATTATAGGAAGAAAGTGCAATTATCCAATAGAATCCAGAAATGTATATAGCTAATTTTATGCCTGCATGTATCTAACCCAGCCATAGGAATTGTAATCACTCTTTGTTTTGCTTTTTTTTTTTTTTTTTAAATTTCGGGGGAAATAGGTTAGGTGGGACCTGAATACATCATTATAAAGTATGCACGTATAAATTGAACTTTCCTAAATCTAGGTCACTTGGGTAAGAAGGCTCTTTTGATGAAACCACGTTGACAATTAGATTCACAGGGCACTTCAATGTTAAATGATATTCTCCCCATATTCTGGGTCATAAGGTGGTATAAACAATACACCAATGTTAAGAAATAGAAAATTGTATTCACAGTAATAGTGAAGCTTCATGGTGCATGCTTTTACACTTTAATATGCTGTGTTCTTTCTGTTGTATTAATATTTTAAGTAATATAATTTCCTTTGTGTATTTCTATGTTCATCTTTTCCTTTTTTTCTCTTTACCCTTCTGGCATAGCTTTCTATAATATTACATCTTATGCCAGGAGAAATTCCTGAAACATAGAAAGTATAAAGTCAAAACATCTTTGCAGGAAAATGGCAAAAACAACAACAAAAATGGATTTAATCTCCAGTCAAAATGTTATCTTGTATACTTTACAGACTCAATCTGTGTCCCAGGCTTTGATCCAAGCCTCAACATGATGACTGGAATCACCCCCATTAACCCAATGATCCCAGGCCTTGGACTGGTACCTCCCCCACCACCAACAGAAGTGGCTGTTGTCAAAGAAATAATCCACTGCAAAAGCTGTACTCTTTTTCCTCAAAATCCAAGTGAGTAACGCCTATGGGAACTATTTGCGCATTTTAAATTGTTTTCTTTTTAAATTTTAAAATGGCATTGCAGTCATTTTCAGATGTGACTCACACGTAAATGCGCAGAGTGGGGATCCGTTCTACAGGAGGCCTTTTGTCTCTCGATTAGAATAAATACACAGGGATGTGGCCACGTGTCTGTCCAGAAGCTGAATCCCCACTGTCAAGCCAGTACATGGGATTTGGGGATGTGTATCTGGCGGTAAGACTTTGCATGCAGTGAAGCCTAGTGTTTGCTGGAGAACACAGTGTGAAATATGTGAGCACTTCCATCCATCTTCACAAATGTGGGAGAAAAACTCCGAAATGTGTTTTGCTAGATGGAAAATTGAATTAATTTGACAGTTAGCAATTTGGGGGCCGAGGAGAGGGGAGCCTGCATCTTAGAGCTTCTGGACCAAATTGCATTTGCTTGAAGGAAACATACATTTGATGAAGTAAATGGGCCAGAATTTTATTTTTTAATTTTGCCTCAGATGCTAAGTTTATGGGCTAAAATAGCTAGGACTTTTTTTTTTTCGATCGTTCATATTAATCAGGGTTGCCTTTTTTAAGTGGACTTTTCCGGAGATTGCTTTAGTAATCTACATATAAACTAGGTAAAATGTTGTGAGAGTGTACATTTTATCTTTTTATACAGCCTCCCCAAAATGTAATCGTTTGCTCATTTAAATGTGAATAATAACAAAGTGGTTTTTTCAGGCCCGGTGTTGCGCAGCCAAGTAAGTATTGTGCGCGCTTTTGTGGGTTATGCTTCCCGTACTCTGCTTTGCCGCTCCTTTATCTGGAAAGGAGACAAAGCAGATAACACGCCAAGGTTCTTCATCATGTTGTCATTTCATCATGTTTTGTACTTTGGGAAGTTTTTTCCCTCCCTTTTCTGGGCTTCTGTAGTATAAAGGAGAAATGAAATTATGCAAACATTTGCTTTACGTTTGTTCATGGACAAGCGTATAGCCACTCTGCGTAGCAATAAACACAGAAAGTAGAGGTTGGGAGTGGGAGGGGAGAGGAACTTAGAAACAAGACAGCCTGGGATAAATGTAAGTTGGCACAGAAATTGATCGTCACTCAGTCTGGAGAAAGTTGCTCTGCAAGCTTTAGTTTTGCCGGGAGAACCAGAGAGAGCAAATAAATGAAAGACAAAACTTTCTGTTTTGTTGTGATTATTAGATCTTCCACCTCCTTCCACAAGAGAACGACCTCCTGGGTGTAAGACTGTGTTTGTCGGAGGATTACCAGAAAACGCTACCGAGGAAATTATTCAAGAAGTCTTTGAGCAGTGCGGTGATATTACAGCAATTCGGAAAAGCAAGAAGAATTTTTGTCACATTCGCTTTGCAGAGGAATTCATGGTTGATAAAGCCATTTACCTTTCTGGTACTTTGCATTACATAAGGAGTTTTCTAGGCATTTTGTTATGTTTTGTGATGTTAATATGAGCTTATTTCCTTTGGCCTTAATGCAAAATAAAGTCTTCATAGTTTGGGGCTGGAAAGGGAGGAATTCTGCCTTCTTCCTTGGCTGCCGGAAGCTCTGTGCTAAGTCTGTGAAGGTGCCTCACTGCAGGAGCAATTTCCCACCATCCAGTCTTTAGGAATTCCATCGAGTTTCTAATTAATGTTCTCAAGTGCTTATTAAATGAGAAGCAATATTATGAGTACTAAGGACCATTATTCTTACTGGATGTAATCCTCTGGGAGAGTAAAGTACTCTCTCAGAATAATTTCAGGTTTTTGGAAGTGGATTCACTTTCTGGACACCAGGGTACCAAAGCAAGGTCAGTTCCCTGCAGGAAAGTGGCTTAGGGGCCCTAGGAGAAAGGCACAGGATCATTGCCTCGTTGGGGGTTCATTAAGCCTTGTCCTTTGGTGCCAATGTTTATAGGCGATTTTTACAGATACTGAGATTAGACCCAGTGCTGCCTTCCCATCTGTGGGTGTTGGGCCAAGTGGATGGAGTCTGTCCACAAGGCCTTGCCAAATCGAAGAATTAGGGGCTGGTTTTGGAAGGACACGTTCTTAGACTGAACTCACTGCCCTTCCCTCACACTCCCCACCTCCATTTTTCAGTCGTCCCTCTGCATTTCACCTCCCTATTCCTGAGGCAAAGCTGATAAGGGAAGGTGGGAAAACAATAGGGGTGGGGGGTGGTGTTGGGGATACCTATCTGAACATTCCCGCCAGGTTTTACTTAATTTCTGCCGTCCGCCTCTATTGCCACGAAATTCTGTGCAAACCTCAGAAGCCTTGAGGTTATCAGCTATGCAGAGACTCTCCTGAGGTAGACAGTGATATGGAGAACTTTAAAACCCCTTATTTCAGTAAAACCTTACAAAGTAGAAAATAAAAACTAAAAGCAATTGAAAATGGATAAGGAAGACAAAGCGTAGAATGAAGACATTTCATAACACACAATCCACTGTTAGACAATGGGGTTTCTGGTGAGTTCGTGGCACTGGGTTTCATGGCCTAGAGCCTGCCTCCGTTTTCTCATCTGCAAAATAAAGATAGTAACAGGAGGACCTCGTAGGACTGTGAGGAGGAATAAATCAAATAATGGATATTAAGTGCTTAGCAGGGCACCTGCAACATAGAAACCATTCAGGAAATGGTTGTTTTTAACATAAATATCCTGATCATGATAAAGAAGGACAGATTTTTCTATCTCAAGAACCCTGTCCTGGGGACCTGGGTTCTAATCACAGCTGTACCAATAAAACTGCAATCATCCCTCAGTACACTCGGAGGATTGGTTCCAGGAGCCCCTGCCCCTGCCCCATGTATAGCCTGCGGAACCCTCATGTATATGAAAAGTCAGCCCTCCATATATGTGGGTTTCACATCCCTCAAATACTATATTTTGGATACACATTTGGTTGGAAAAAATCCACCTATAAGAGGACCTGCACAGATTAAACCCATGTTCACAGGTCGACTGTATTCTTTACCCTACTTGATTAAATGAGAAGGTTAGAGTAAATCAAAGGCCCGTTTCAACTCTAATACAACACAATGTTCACACCCAATCAGAAGCCTCGTAAGACACTGACAAAGATGAACAGTCCCAAATTTAGGCATATGAAAGGTGCTCCTTGATTGATTATACCTTGATCCTATGATTTTCCAGCCTGGGGGCTGGTCCTGCTTCCCTCAGCATGCCCCTGATTGCTCCTTGGTCTGCCCCATTACTGTAAGAGGAGAACACAGCTAAGCCTCACCTCCAGCCTCCCTACCTGGGTGCAGAAGAGCCTCCTCACTCTGCCTCCCTGCCCTTGAGAGGCTGCAGCATCAGTCCCAGGAAGATCTGCAAGGCCAATTAACTGGAAAGGCAGGAAGGAAGTCAGGCGGCCCCTCCTGTGTGTGGGCTCCAGCAAGCCCAAGCCCAGCTGGAAGGCCTGTCTAATTTTAGGACCACATTCACATTTGAAGGCCTAGCTAATTTTAGACTCGGCCTCATCAGGGTCCCTTTTAAGTCCTTAGTGATGATGTTTCTGTGAAAGTGAGGGTGTTTCTGGAGCCAGAAATGTTTGAAAACGGATTCTCTGGACAATGAGCAGGGGAAAGGTGCTTGGCCAGTTGGGATAGCTGGCCAGTTGAAACAGTCCTGCCTGCTCAGCTGTTATGCCTGTATCACTGTGGCCTGCTGACTTGTTAAGTTCCCATGACCCACAACCAAGATACATTTTGCTTTTGCATTAATTCTGCACATCTGTGATCGGATGTTTTTGGTTTTGATTGGTATTGTTATGTCTTCCCATTTTTAGATAACACTTGAAAATCTAGCAGTGAGAAGGGTTCCGTGGCATGGCAGAAACCAGATGTGAGGTCAATATCTTACTTGTAACTTTCAAAGGTGTGAAGTGGCCTCCTGGGAGGAGCCAGCCTCTACAGAGAGTTTCAGCTGAGTTTTATCCCCAAATGCTAAAATAATCCATTGAAATCTACCATGAGATCGTGAACATCAGCACAGTGCAGCCTAGCATTTTACAGCTGTATCTCATTTGCAAAGCCCCCACACTGGAAAAGTGCTTATGTTGCTCTCTCCTCTGGCAGCCCCCAGCAGCTGTGGTCCTGCTGGGACCTGGATTTATGTTCTGAAAATCTGAGTACCCCAAACTGAAGAGCAACCTCAAAGTCAATTCTTCTTCATTTGAAGTTAGGCCGGCTGACTGGTTTCAGTTCTGTTAGTGTTGATTTCTCAGATCAAGTTTCTGCTCATAATCTTTATATAAGTTGGGTAGCTCACAGTGAATCCCCTAAAGATTTCCAGGCCCATTTTTTTCTTTGTCTAGCTCTGGGCTCTTGCACCGGGCTCCTGTGGCCTTAAAATATTACATGAACAATTTGTGTGGTGATGCATACCAGATGAGGTGCTGCAGGGCTGTGAGGAAGGCAGCGGTGAGGCCTCTTGATTGCAGGTAAAATATTCTCCTGCCTGCCCCAGAGGATAAGTGGAAATAAAACAGCGTTGCAAAATTGCCTTGGTAATTGTGCCTGTTGCAGCTGCTGAGAGAGAATTGAGCAGCGGCATTTTCTGTGGGAATGTAGCAATAGCCTGTGAGTGAGGTGTTCTGGAATTCACTTTGTAGATCTTTTTAAATATCATAGATGCTCTTTAGTTACTCATATTTCACCTGTACAATAGAATTATGGTAAACTGAAAATATAATAAAACCAAGAACATAAAAAAATAGAGGAAAAAAAATGCTTCATGCCAAATTTGTTTCTGAGCTTCCTAGAAGCCAGGGGGAAGAAGGAATGATCATGATAAGACCCTAGTTCTTGAGATCATCTTCTCTTGGGGATGGGGGTTTGGAAGATGGGTAAGCAGCCCTCGGAGACAACTCTCCAAGGTGTGTTTATCCCCATACCTGTAATAGGCCTAACTTTACAAAGCTTCAAGATTGCTGGGGAAGAGGATAATTGCTTCCCGCCTCCTATGGGAAATGTATCTGTAGTGACAGCAAAGAAATAAGTGAGCATTTGCCTAAGTGTGCCTTGAAGGTCTGGACCAAAAACATGTGGCCATTGTGACATTATGGTGTGACCAGAGTTTCCATTGGTTTCAGGTTACAGGATGCGATTAGGGTCTAGCACCGACAAAAAGGATTCAGGCCGCCTTCATGTGGACTTTGCCCAGGCCAGGGATGACTTCTATGAGTGGGAATGCAAGCAGAGGATGCGTGCCCGGGAGGAGCGGCACCGGCGCAAGCTGGAGGAGGACCGGCTCCGGCCCCCATCCCCGCCCGCCATAATGCACTACTCAGAGCACGAAGCCGCTCTGCTAGCTGAAAAGCTGAAAGGTATGGGCCACCCACGCTGGCTTTTCTTCCTGCACAGGGATCCCCAGACACGGAACCCCTGTGCGTTTCTCCTGCCTCTTCACCGTTGTCCCTTCAGTACAATGTCTGCTATGCCTTAAGATGGCCGTAAGAGTCTGGTGTAAGCACAGACTCTTTACAGAGCTGGGGTGGGGTAGCTGGGAGGTCCCCTGGAAGCTGCAGACACCTGGGCTTCATCTTCTGCCTGGGACAGAACCCTGCCCCTTCCCAGAATGCTCACCCATGTTCTCCATTAAAGTGTATATGTACAGTCACTCAACAAAACTCAATGAGGGGACAGAAAGGTCCCCAAAGCAGGCTATTCTGACCCAGTGTTTAATGAGCCAGGCAAGTATTTGTGCCATTGGTGGGGCGTTCTTAGTGTTCCTCCAGCCCTGTAGAGTGTGCGTGTTTACCAGACTCCGAAAGCCTTCATCAGGCAAAATTGCAGACATGGTGCTGGGGTCCATCGAGGATAGAAAAGAGACACAGAATGGGATCTCTGTCTTCAGAGATGCAGTTGAGGGGATACATGCAACATTTACAGGACGATTAGCAAGAGAAGAGCGTATGTTTTATTTCTTCTAATGTTTTCTGAGGCCCTCCCTGGTGTCTTATGCTGTGGGAAATAAAGACATAGGAAGGCTCTAGTACCTGCCCCCGTGAACTACAGATGCCAGATTTTGAAGTTAGGATGACGTGTGAATTCAGTTCTGTTACTGACCAAAGTTGTGTGAGCTGAGCAAATATATGGGCATTTTACAGGAAAATGATGGTCAGACCCTCCTCAGGTCATTGAGTGCTGTCAGGATTTGATGAGAGAACGTAAGTCACAGTTGCCGGCCACATGTGGGTGTCTACAGATAAACAATTAACTGTAATACCAAGTCAGTGGCATGATTGTCAACCAACGTATATGCACCGTGCTTTGGGGATTCACGGGCCAGTGCAAATAATGTTGATGAAAGTGTCAAGAAAGTCTTTATACAGGAGGCATAATTTGAAATTTGCAGAATAAACTAGATTGTTTTTCCCCAGGAGAAAAAGAGGCATAAAGCCATTCTAGTTAGAGGCTGGAAACCTAAGAATAAAATCCCACAGAAGCAGAAAGGAATTCAGCATAGAAGCTGCCTTTCTAGAGCGAGGTAAAGCTAGAATGGCAGTCTGGGCCAGATGGCAGAGCCCCAAAGGCTATTGCTGGAATTTGGTTTTATTCTGTAAACAGTGGAGAAGCCATCACAGATTTCTGACGAGAAGAGGGATGTGATTGATCCTTCAAGTGTTTTAGAACATAACTGGTGTATTGCTGGCAGTGTATAAAGTGGATTGGATGTTTTCACTAAGAAAAATGTATGAAAAGCTGCCTAACACCTATTTTAGGAAGATAGGAAGTTGACATTCTACACTTAAAAAAAAAAAAAAAAAAAGGTGGCAGCGGGGGCGCTGTGCTTCCAATCTTCCATCCAGGGCTTGAGAATCCTTAATCAACTGCAGTTGCCACTGAAATACCCGCACTGTAACCAAGGAATGCTTCTTGCTGAGGCTCTTGTGGTGTGTTCTGCTGCTTTGAGAAACCATGTCTTACCGATGTAAATACATAGGCCATAGCTGTCCCTTTAATAAAGGGCATATGCAGTGCAGATACAGACATCATCTCACTTTTCCCTCCAGCCTAGAAACTGCAAGGAGTGGCCAAAATGAGATATAGCAGCAATGTTCTCAACAAGGAGTGTTCACTGGAACAATAATTTTTCTTTAATATCCAATGTATTGTGGTATCAGATTATGATCTACACAGACTAACTGTATTCAGTTTGTCCACACCGAGAAGTGACAAAAACTAGCACCTTGATCTGTGACCTCCTGGAGGAATTTCATAAAAGTGTATCATCTAGTTATGTTGTTTTTAAGAACCCAGTACGGAAGTGTCTCCGCACGTATGAAGTATGTGGCATTTGCCTCTCCTTTTAGAGGATAACAGATTGGGATGTCAATTTGGTAAAGTAATTTGCAAGCCTTGCCATTTCAAAAGTATATATTTATATAGATGAGTATAATTTGCAGAATTCAGAAGCTGTACCTTTGCCAAGTACTGTGTGATCCCTTGAGGAAAGAACAGATTGGAAATCTTAATAGATGGCTGTTACAGTAGAATGAACTAGCTGGGGACACATCTTAGGCAAGAGTCAGGTAATATCAAGCTTGACAATTTCAACCCAAGCATAGAGTTTGGAATATAAACAGCATTTAATTGCTTAGGAAATTGGCTGCCTTAGAGAGGAAATCCACTCCATGCTCCTTATAATGTTGCAAAGCCAGACAGGAAGAGCTGAGGACCCTGTTTCCCTGAAGATGATTTCACTGATATGGGGACATAAAATACAGTCAAGACCTAAGGTAAAGAAATCTGTGTCAGAGAGGAATTGGAAATGCAATCTGAAAATACCTAATTGGATTTGATTTTTTTCCTCCCCTGAGAAATCTTACTTAGATTTATTACAGATACTTTCTTCTATTTTATATCATACTTGTTTATTCTTACAATTTTCTCTTTGAAACTCAGCTTTATTTAGCAAAATCTGTACAAACCAAGTCTTTCTTACGACCCACAATGCCCTCTCCATGTCCTGTCCAATGCTAAAACTGTGCACATAGTAGGTGCTCAGTAAAATAATTCTTTTCTCACTTCTTCTGCTCTTTGGATCTATGAGCACATTGAATTTCTGGCCAGTGGTTCTACTGGGCATGACCGGATGTACATGGAAATGATGCGATGTGTGCTCAGCCATCCTTCCAATCACTCAAGAAGTATTCATTAATCAGTATTTTACCATATGCCTGGCACTGACCTAGCCAGTGGTGGAAAGGACAACAGTGAACAAGCCCCTGCCTCAAAGAGTTTAGATGTCTTGAGTGACAGAGGCAATAACAAATCACCTTGCGTTTGCCACTTATAATAGTGCACTATTATAATAGTATATTTATTATAATAAATATACTAATCCCCTTGTTATATGTGGGAAGTGCAAAGTGCTGTCGCAGGGGAGAGAGGCAGCCCAGATGGGCAGTGCCGGAGTGAGAGAGGGCGGATCTTCCAGGACCAGGTTATCCCATTCACTGGCTACTTGACCTTCAGAAACCAGAGGTAACACTATTGTGTTTGTGTAGTGTCTGAGACATGGAGTCATCCAGTGCCTGTTACGTTAATACAAATTCTAAAAAAGAAAATTAGTAGGCATCCTGCTGGTTAAATAGACATCGTTGTGAGACAATTCAACTTAATGAAGACCGACTGGGAAGTAACTGCTCAGAAACCCTAAGTTTATAGTATGGCTTTGAGAAAGTGCGATGGAGCTCAATAACACCATAATTACACTTTATTGGAAACAGTGGCACCAGGCAGATGAGATAATGAATTTCAGTGTGTCTAACACAGACCATCCACCCCTGGAGGAACCCTGTGTTTGGACTGTGGAAGGAAGAGATTGATTAGACAGTGAGGAAGGATTATATTCTAATTCACTGGGATTTCTCTTGGCAAGAGCATTTAAAAGTTTTTGTGTACTTTTTACCCCCTTAGAAAGCTTCACATAATCTTTCATTTTGTGATGAAATGAAGAGTTTCTCTCTGAATCAGGTGAAGTCCTGACAAAGCCTTGCAAGCAGGGCCTTTGGGATTCCCTAATGTGTCAACAAGAGTACCATCCTCCTGGGATCAACATTTATAATTTCCAGAGAACTGGACTCTGATTTGCATATAGAATGGCCCCATGTCAGCCTGCCAGACAGAGGAAGGGACAGATGTGGTACTAGCATTTTGCTGAGATGGTTGTCAATATTTATGGTTCCATGAAAGTAAAAATCAATAATGTTATGAGCCAAGTGGATGTCCCATTAGCTAAAAGCCAGACTTCCTTCATAGGGTAAGGGAAATATGAAACATAGGAGCCTGTTTGCAAATTATTTCCTTATGTGTTATTGACCTTCATAGAGGTAAGATAGGCCGTTTTATTTAGAAACATTTTGCTTGACCCTGAAGCAGGAATAATCGGTGCATTTTCATATTGCCGCCTTAATTTTCTCATTTTTACAGCTACTAACTAGTTAAGAAGATTGCATGTGTGTTTTGGGGGTAGAAGGGAACATTACCTGTCTGTTTAGCCTTTTATGCTGTCTGTGATCTGGTTAGTTGATGCAGGGTTAATTGAGCAGCCAGGAAAAGGAGACTTGTTTAGGGACATGTACAGAAATTTGGGGATTGTGATAGCAGCAATGCTTTGACCATACTGAAATTCCAAATCTGCTTAGATGACTATGTGACTGTACACTGTGAGCAATTTCTGGCTGTCTTTGGAGCCAGAAATCATTGATAACTACAGACACACTTTTACTTGTGTGTGTATGTGTGTACACATGTGTGTGTCCCTCCATTTCTTTGGAAAGAAAAGCATTTTAGAATGTCTTCCTTGTTTTCCCACGTTCTGTTCAAACATAAAATCCCTGTCTCCTCATTGTTCCTTTATAGACCCAGGTGTAAATAAGGAAACTATAGCCCACCTAAGTTTCATATTCAGTGCTCCCGGCTTGGCTCTTATTCCATCTATTGTTCAAAATTCAGGGCTGCCTCTTCCTGTGCACACAAAGTGGGAGGAAAAAACCACTTAACGGCCGGGTGTGGTGGCTCACACCTGTAATCCCAGCCCTTTGGGAGGCCCAAGTGGGTGGCTCACCTGAGGTCGGGAGTTCGAGACCAGCCTGACCAACATGGAGAAACCCCATCTCTTCTAAAAATAGAAAATTAGCCAGGTGGGGTGGTGCATGCCCGTAATCCCAGCTACTCAGGAGGCTGAGGGAGAAGAATCACTTGAACCCTGGAGTTGGAGGTTGCAGTGAGCCGAGATCGCGCCATTGCACTCCAGCCTGGGCAACAAGAGCAAAACTCCATCTCAAAAACAAAAACAAAAAACACTTACCAATTTGGT